ACTAGAAAGGAACATTGGCATAAATTTTTAAGATGGAACACAGGACTTCAAAGAAACTTCCAAAATCTGATAAGGACTTTACCCTCTGCCTCCAGAGAAGAAACTGTAGAGTTCCAAGTTCACATGTTTTCACATTAGAATTGTCTAGCTGGAAAGCACTGAAAGGTTTAGAAGGCACTAAAGGACGGATGTTTCCTTTTACCTCTTTTATGTTCATTGTTAGATCCCAGGCCAGCTGGTGCTCAAGTCACGCCCATTTGCAGCTGGGGCTCTCTTAACATATAGGTCCCAGGCTAACACAGGCTCTTTTCCCATTGTCACCTGGGAATCACGTAGCATAGAACCTCCCCTCTTTCTCTGAGACCTCAGCCATGTGACCCTGAACTCTCGTCAGACACCTTGTCATGCTGCTATGTATGGTGTTAATAACTCTTCTGATAAACCTCTAACCCAAAAAGATAATTCTTCTCAGTGTCCCCCTTGAGTACCAAACCCAAAACATTTCACTAATCTTCTCTTGAATTACGAACCGGAACTGAAGAGAGATCAAGGTTGGTGCTAAGAAAAATGCATCACACATCTTAGTGGGAATGCAGACCGAGGTTATCTGCAACTAGGGATCTACATTGTTGGGGGTAGAGAGACTTTAGCTGTTGGTTGCTTTGCTTTGAGATAGGGTTTCCAATGTAGCCCAGGCTACTCTTGAACTCCCCATCCCCCTTCCTCAGCCTCTCTAGTACCTGGGTTACAGGTGTATGGCATCATACCTGGCTACACTGCTGGTTTTTAAACTGACTATTGTACACTCTCAAGGTTTTGGGAATTGTTACCTTTTAAAAATTAGTTTGAGGGGTAGCTACATCTGTAGCTTAGTCAGAAGAGTGTGTGACTATCATGCATAAAGCCCTGGGCTCAATTTTCAGAACCACATAAAGCAGTGCATGTCCGTAATCCTAGCACTGGAGGTAGGAGGATCAGAAGTTCGAGATTATCTTTGGCTACACACAGAACTCAGTGCCAGCCTGAGCTACATGAGGCCCTATCTCAAAAACAAATAATTTCAACAAAATGGATATTCCCATAATGGGTACAATTTTAACCATTTTAAGTATACAGTTCATTGACATTAGTATATTGACATTGCTATACTACCATCACAGCTATTTATCTACAGAACTCCTCCATCAACTGAAATGGAGACTATACCTATCAAACGTTAATTTCCCCATTCCTTTCCCACCCCAGCCTCTGGCAACCACCATTTTATTTCCTGTCTCTATGAATTTGATGAGAACTAGAATTATACAACATCACTTATGCCTGCTTTATTTGCATAATGTCTTCAAGATCCATCAGTGTTGTAGCTTGGGTCATAATTTCATTTTTGATGTTGAGTAATATTCCATTATATGAGGTATACCATATTTTATCCATCTATTTGTCCATATGGTGTACATTTAGATTGTATTCAACTTTTGGCTCTGTGAATAATGTTTTTGTGAATACAGGTATACGAATATCTGTTCAAGTTCCTGCTTAGTGGAATTTCTGAATCACGTAATTTTATACATAATTTTTTGACAAGCTACCTTTATTCTCTTTTTTCCTGTTCTATTTCTGAAGTCAGTCTTATCATTTATTTGAACAGTATATTTTGTCTTTCATGTGTACTAGTTTACATTTATCCCAAATGACCTCTTTTGCCTGTTCCCTCTTTAACAAGATTATTTCAAAATATCATTTATGTTCCACTGTAATGATTTTTTCCAAAACATAAACATTAAGCTTCACTCTTTGGAACAAATTACTATTTCCCAAGTCATGGAATACATTTCTGGTTAAATGGACAAGGATCTATGCTTTCTTGGTGGGAATGAGGGAAGCAGACTTTGAAATCAGTAGCAAGATACCAGTATAGCCAGGCTTGGGCCATGCCTGTAGCCCAGCTACTAAGGAGGTTTAGTGGAGATGATCGCTTGAGTGAATGTCTTAAGACCAGCCTGGGCAATACAGTGAGATTGTTACCAGAATTAGGGTCATCTTGTTCCCCAACAAATCAGGTTTGGCTAGTTTTCCTCAATAATCCAATTAAATGTCAAGTTCATAGTGAAAAGCAGAAAAAAGAAGGTTTATTCAACGTAGTTGCATTGGAAAGAGGAACAAAGAAATCCAGTGATCCCCTAAGTCCATCTCCAAGGTGTGGTCCCTCACTCAGCACTGTCTCCATTTCAAATCTCTCCAGGAAGGCTGTTTGACAATTTACAAATCTTCCTCCAAATTCTAATTTCTTGGGGTCCATTGTTTCAGTAGCCAAATAGCCACAAGGGTCTCTTTAGACTATATTCACTCTTGCCAGGCAGGCTGGTTACAAAGGCTTGAGTGAATGAGTTTAATACCAGCCTAGACAATAGAGTGAAACCCTATTTCCCCACAAACAACAAACAAAGATAAAGATACCAGTCTGATATGTCTTGAGTGACACAGGAGAGACAAAAGGCTCCTAATATACACATATGCTACTTGGGAATATTTTGGCATGCAAACAGTAGTGGAAATCTGGAGTCTAACTCTTGCAACACTGAGACTCCATCTGCTGCCACAAGAATGTGAGGATCTTGGATTTCCAGTTGTAAGTAGGAATCTACCTTTCCTATCCTTTCATCTTCCTTCCTGTCACTAGAGCTCCAGGTGCCACCTTCGTTGCTCACTGACATCAAACGGAGAACTCGTTTTCCCTGGAAGATGGAATCTCTCCAGTCACAGCCCACTGAGGGATTTAGTATACAGAAGCAAAGTTCTTTCATATCCAGTCAATGAACCCTGCCCACTAAATCTCCTATCCACACCAAAGTAACTCCTTCCTCTCTGCCCCCTCTACCTGGGGTCAGAACTACATTTGGATTAATGCAGTGGGTCTGAACTGGTCTCCACCCATTCATCACACCATGGGGAGGAGAGATGCACTTCTCAGCAATTCAGTGTCCTTGGCACCAACACCCTTAAATAACAAAGCTCAAGGGAGAATTTTAACCAGTCCATACCTCTCCTGGGTGGAGCTGCAGCAGAGCTGGGCTCATAACTCCTGGTTGCCTTTTATCTGTATTGCTTTTGTTTGTTGAAAGGCTGAATATGATTGTTATCATTCATATAGCAAGGTCACCAGTGGAGGGGAAGTAAGTTAAAGAGAATAAGCTGCAGGCCATCCCTTAGCCACTCCAGTATGGTACCCATTTTCTTCTCTTATGTGGTTCTCTTTCCAAGGGTGGTGTTGAATGTGTAGTGGTCAGGGAACTTCTCAAGCCATTACACTTCTTTCATCCTGACCATACTTCCCAGCCACCATCTCAACTTCAACCACTGCAGAAAAGGATCAATCCTTCAAACAAACCTTCCCCACAGTCCATACCTCTCCTGAAGAACAAAGCTTCTTTGTTCTTCATAATCATCTATTTGGACATTTTGGTTGTTATTCACCTTTTGGCTCTGTGCAGTGCTTCTTAGAATACACCTATCTGCTCAAAGTTCCTGCTTAGTGAAATTGCTGCATCATATGTTAACTGTAGGTTAGGTGTGAAAGAACCTGATCTGTTCCAACAGGAACTCTTCTGAATTGTGGAATTCCACTGTCACCATCCCTTCCTGCATTTTCCCATGAAAGCAACAACAAAAACTGTTGTATTTTTCGTAGGTAACAAATTCTTTTTCAGAGAAGGAAAAGGTATATACTAGTCAAGTTAGAATTGAAGTAGCCACCTGTCTCAGTTTGCTTAAGATGGTCCCAGTTTATTTGTCTTGCCCTACAAGAGTTCCCTCTTTTAATTCAATTCTAAAACATAAGAAAAGATTCCAGTTTGGAGGATAAATTCTTTGTTCAGACTAGGTAAATACATCTTGGTTTTCTAGGAACATTTTCCAAGTGATGTGACCCAAGTCACTGCATGGTATTTGATAACAACTCTGAAAAGTAGGCAGAGAAACATTTCATCTCTATTCAGTGAAGGAGATAATTAAGTCTTTATGGGGCACAGTGGTGACTGAGTTCTCAGGTGAGAACTAGGATTCCTAACTTCAAGTCCAGTACTGTTTCTGCTAAGAACCGGTATGTGCCAATGCCTGTATAAAGGCTAACCTCACGCCCTTGTTTGGTAATCTGGTTGGGGACTGGATCTAGAACAGTTTAGGCACGTTTGCCCTTGCCCAAAGTCTAGGCAAGCATTTAAAGCAAGCAAAGGAATGAGAGAGAAAAGAAACAAACACGAGGAGGCGGTTAGCAAATCTTGGGGGCAAATGATGTGTTTCTTTTAACTTTACTGGATCTAGTCAGATTATTTGAATCTTGTAACTGGCCAAATTAAAGCAAGGGGAGGGAAGGGAGGGAGAGAGGGAGACGGGGCGGGGGGGACAGAAAGGGCGATTGGGCTAGAGATGCTGAGAATATATCAGTAATGCATATCTAGTATTGTAAAGCCCATACAAATAAGCTCTGCTCCGTTTTCTAGTTGTTTTCCCTAATTGCATACTACTTGGGGGAAAAAAACTTATAAAATCTGGAAAATTCTACCCCCTTGGTCAGTTGGCAGTGAGATACCACAGAAAACAATTTTAATGCTTAAAAACCGAGACAATGCTTTGTAGTTTCCAGTCCATCCCAGAGATGCTGCATATGGTGCCACACCAATAAATATCCATTCTCTCTATGGCAACGGAAGACCATAGGAGCCGTGGCACCGGGAGCCGGGAACCCAGTGTCCTCCCCTGTCGGTCCAAAGGCAGAAAGGATCAGGGTGCCGCCTAGTCTGGCCGCAGCAGCAAAGGGACGGACGCCCCCCGCCACCTGTGGGCACCGCAGCTCGAGCGACGTGGCAGGGCTCCCCACGGGCAGCTGGCGCCGGGCACCCGGGTCAGGAGGGCAGAGCAGGACAGACGAGCGGCAAGCGGGTGGGGGGAGCAGGAGGGCGGGCGCGCGCGCATGCGCACTGGCCCACCGCCGGCCGGAAGAGCCGGGCAGCCGGGTGGCTGCTCGGGGGCGCCAGACGGCGCGCAGCTGCGGAGAGAGCGCGGGCCACGGGATGGGGCCCCCGGAGAGCGCGGCGCAGCCCGCGGCCGAGGCGGTGGAGCTGCGGGAACCGGAGCAGCTGCTGGCGGAGTGCGCGGTCCCGAGCGCGGGCGAGGAGCCTACGGACCCCCCCGGCAGGTGTTGGCTGTGCGGAACCTCGCCGTGCGGCTCGGGCGCGGAGCGGGGTGAGTGCTCGGGCAGGACGGTGCGGGGCTGGACGGGGCGGCCTCTCTGCAGCCCGGGAGCGTGCCCACCGCACAGCCATCCCCTGCATCCCCTCCCTCCCTCCCTCCCCTCCCTGGGGCCCCCGGGAAAGTGGGCGAGCTGTCACCCCTGGGGGTGCTGCAGAGCACCTGCCCCCTGTGCCCCCGCCGGCACCTGGACCCCAGAAAGTTTCTGAGTGTTTGCAACCCTATGGGGACTCCGAGGCTGCTCCCGTGCTTAGTGCTGCGGGGCAGGACCTTGCAGTCAAAAGGCAGTTTGGTGTGCCCCACGGAGGTCGAAGGGGAATGGTCACCGAGGAAGGCCAGGCCGAGGTCGGGAGGAAGCTGACCTGGAACCCTCATCTTGGTGGTAAAAGGAACACCCTGAAGAGGAAGTTGGGGAGCATCGGATTCTAGGAGAGTGTTTGTTCCGCGACCTTTGCATCTTGGAGAGGCAGAGTTGAGTGGGGACCACTGGCTCTCAACCTTTTGGGGGATAGGAGGCCGTTTTAGCAATTGTTTAAAAAAAAAGAACAAAAAACGCCTCAACTTGATAAAATCCCTCGTGAAGAACCATGGACCTTGTTCGAACCCCTTCTTCCACAAAGGGGTAAAGTCAGGTCGTGGAAAGGTTGGTTTTTTTGTTTTTGCTTTTGTTTTTCTACCAGGGTCTGACTTGTGTAGGTAAGATAGGGCAGGTCAGAGCAGCAATGGTAAGGCTTTCAGTTTGCTGGAGACCCAGCCTAGGGCGCTTTCCACTGGCACAACTTGCTAGAAGAAAGCATAGGAAATCTTTTAGGACAAAGTTACACCCTTTTCACTACCTCAACTCCTGGGTCTCCTCCCCTAAGTATGGCTTGGGATTTTTTTTTTACCTCTTCTTATATGCAGTTCCCAGAGTTTAGAGAGCAAGGTCTCAGAAAGATGATTTTTCATGCATTTCGGTCCTAAAGGCCAATAGAAATGATCAATCTTCTAATTCTGTTTGCATGGGCTCCAGCGTCCAAGACAGGTACCCCATGCAGGGTTGACCATGTGGGCAAGCCCTGGAAGAAGTCAGTTTCTCACCCTGTGGCTAGGTGTCATTCTGGCTTACTGTTGAGTGGGTTCTTCCCAACTTGTTTCCCATTTGCAGATCAGTGAGAGTTACTGTATACTCGGGTAGCATGTGACTGAATGTACCTAAGGATCTTGACTTCCAGTTTCGAAAAACGTTCCCAATGATAAGTTATTCTGGAAAAAAAAAAACAATGCCATAAATTATTGTATTGTTGGCATTGGACTTTTTACTGCCTTATTTTAGACTATCCATTTCTGGGGACAGGGTCTCCATATGCAGGATAGAATGGACTCAGATTCAGGGTCCTCCTCCTGCCTAAGCCTCCTGTTTGCCAAGATTCCAGGCATGCACCACCATGCTTGATTTTGAGACCCTTGATCCTAAGTGGTTATCTTATCAAAACTCATTTTCAAGTTCAGGTTGTAACTTATCCCTTTTTCTTACTTTCTCAGATAATCTTACTGGACAGCTCATAACTCTCCTAAGATAGCTATTTGTCACCTTGGGGAACAATGTAGATCTTAGACTGAAGCAAAATGAGAAGCTATTTTAGTATTGTGCCTCTCTTCCCCTAGAGGGAGTGAGCACCTTAGTCCATCAGTGGACCTCAAACGAGCTTTTACAAAGTTCCTGAGGTTCTGGGGTGGGACCTGGAATTGGAATTTGTAAAAAGCTACTCGGGTGATTCTAGTTCCCAATCAGGTTTGTGAATGTCCAGCTTAAAGCAGAGGATAAAGAAACTGAGGAAAACAGGTTTTTACTTTTCTTCTGGAAGTTGCATAGTGACCGCTTAATTTGAAAAGTTCACCTTTCAGCTTTGTTTGGACTGATTAGACAGGCTTGCAGTGGAAATTGAGTGTGGAAATATATTCACGAGTAAATGCCTCTTTGGATTACCCCACTCATTTGCTCATCCTCACTGACAGAGAGAAATGAAATTTTTATTCATTAAGAAATTGAGGTTTGCCTGAACAGAACTCTTCCTTGCCTTCATTAACAAATAATGAAGTTCAGTTCAACCCTCTGTCACCTGTCTTGTCCTGGTCAGGAAACATGAACCTTAAGTGTTTATGTGCTTTTTTAAAAGTGTTTTATAGGAAAAGATCCATTTGAAAAGAGTTAAATCGTTATATTAAGTTGAAATTCTTGGAGAAAAAGTAAAGTTGAAGTTGGAGAAGATCCTTGAATTAACAGACCAGGAAGATGTTTTCTGTCCCAGGATTTCTCATTCTGTTCTGTCTGAGGGTGGAGATTTATATGTGTGGGTTGGGTTTCTTTTAAGAAAATTGTTTTATTTGGACCTAAATTTTGTAATTTCAGAAGCCCAGCTCTAAGGCTGACCACAGCCAAGGCATGCATTTGTGGTGCTTCGCTTGGAGTCTTCTAAAGTTGCTTTGTCATGGCCTGAGTGGGTGTGTGCAGTTCATTTCCATGGTATTGGAGCACTCAGGTACAGGGCAGCATGGAGGCTTCTGGCTCCTATAACAGAAGGGCAGCAGCCAGCTCCAACGTAGTCTTCAGCTGTGTACCTAGCATATGAAGGAGGAGTCTGATGAGAATGGTATCACTAAGTGCAAAGTCCAGGCCGTACAGTGTCCCTGGAGAGACTACCATCAATGGTCATGATTTATAGTCATTTGTGGACAAAGGTACCTAAAGTGAGGATGTTGAAATATATTACTTGGCATATCATTTATCAGAGAAGGGCATTTTCAAAAGAGAACATAATTACACAATAGTGTTCCATAGCTAAGTATCGTTTTGTACATTCTCAGATGGGAGTAGCCATCTTAGTTTTCTAGTTAATTACATGTGTCCACACATCCTGCATCCCCACTGTACTGTTCATTGACAGGAGTCACTTGCATATCATGTATATATGCACATCTATATGTATATGTGATAACCAGTTAGCTGAAGAGGGGTAGCTGTAGTCTTCAATGTGTGGTCTATGTTTTAGGGAGTTCTTTGCTTCCCCTGCTGCCTTTTGCCCTCCTCAGTAACAGGCTTGAGATTAAAGCAAGCTCTGTTATGATAGGAAACAAGGGCATAGAATGAAAGTTTAATGCCACACAGGTTCTTAATAGATTAAATATTTGATGGCCTAAAGAAAGCACCAGTTTCCTGGTTCATATTAAGACAGGAAATAAGGATAAGATGAGGCAAAATTGCAGTTCACAATTACACAACAGAAAAGGAGCCTTTCCAGATTACATTCTTGCCAGTAACATTAGACCCTCAAGTCTTTCTATGACGTTCTCTTGCAGGCTCTCCTTTCACCACATATTTATTCAGGTCTCCTGTGTGTCAGGCACGAATAAGACTGCTGAGATCCCAGCCTTAGAAAAGTTCATAGGCTTGTGGGGGAAGTCAGATGACAGTATATTTCCAGAACAGATACTTTCTTCCTAAAGCAAGTTCCCTGGTGAGAGGCTCTAAGATGTTATCCCTGGAACAAATTTTCACTTCCATCTTGACAGGTGTTTCTTCAAGATTTCTCTTACCATCTTGGCAACCTTTTTATGTCTTGACTTCCAAAGTGAGGAATGATTCTTTAAAGAGCAGAACATTTTATTGGGCAGAACATTTTAAAAATACAGGTTTATATTGTTGCTCTCTCGTCTATAGGTTCCTCATAATGGATAGGGGGAGACCACCACATGGACATGTTTAGAGGGTCTTATCTGTGCTCTAACCATGGGTAATAGTGCATTTTTCTCAATTTCTAAGGGAAAATGATGGAATATGTACTTGGAAGCCAGAACTAATCAGAATTTAATCTTTTTCAGAAGCCAAGAAGAAAGCGCCCTGTCCTGGACTTGGCTTGTTTTACACAGTATTGTCTGCCTTCCTTTTCTCAGTGGCCTCTTTATTTGTTAAAAAAGTGCAAGGCGTCCATGCTGTAGAAATTAGTGCATTTCGATGTGTGTTTCAATTGCTAGTTATTATCCCTTGCTTAATATACAGAAAGTAAGTATTTCTCAGTGCAAAATAGAAGATTTAATAAATGTGTATAAATCTTTTGAACTGCCTTAATGATCTTCTCTTTAGTAACTGATGTCTCAGACGTTGACCACTTTCTGTTCCCCTTGGCTCTCATGAATGAAATGTCCCAGGGTCTACTCACAGAAGATTCTCCCATAAGCACATACTACTTGCTCACAAAGAAGAAAGATCTAGTCATTCATCACCCCACATTTTGAAAGCAAAACTTCTCTTGTATAATTCCCCATCTTGACCACCCTCCTTTCCTTTGGCATAACTGGTATTTGGAAGACAAGAAGTAAATGAAAAGAAGTCATAGTGTGGAAGGTTTAAGTGGGACAGACTGGTCACCTACCAGAGCAGACAGAAGGTGACAGCAGGATTGAGGTCTTCCCCAGAGGGTGTCAGGAGTAACCTTGAACAAGGTCCTTGATTACTTTAGTATTCCGTTTCCTCCCCCCATAAACCGGAGGGAGTGGTATTCTCTGGGCTGTGCCCCACAGGCGATTACAAGGCTCATATAAGAATTGTTCTTGGTCAGAGTGTGTTCTGTATACTATAACTAGAGAGCACTGCCTCTGCACTCCCCTCCCTGTTCTCCGAGCCACATGCCATCCTTCTTCCTTGTGGTATCTAGCAACTCTTCCTGGGGTTGAAACTGTGCCTCCCCCATCATTGTAACTTATACCTTGTATACTTTGAACCCCAGGAGGGAGATTAGTTGGTTCCCTACTGACTTACCTGGCTCTGTTTTGGAGTTAAAGATGCTTAAACCTCAGAATCAAAACCTTTAGTTGTTTGCCACCAAAATCTTTGTATCTCATAAGATAAGACAAATTCATTTAGAATAGTGTCATTCCATGTCCTGAGAAACTGGTTGAAAAGTGGAAATCTGCTGAGATTAATGTTGTCAGAAATTCCCGGGTGTGTGCACAAGCAATAGTACTTCAAAAATGGTGGTTAGACTTCAGCAATATCTAAAGGAGGTAACAGAACACTGAGATTAACAACTATATTCCCCATTTTTCAATAAAAGTATCATTAGTAGAAAAGTACTAGAGTTTCCTTAAAATCCTTGGTTCTAATCTGTTTCAATAGGGATATCATGGAAGATTTATAGCATTTTAACACATAGGCCAAAGATGGCCACACTTTGATTTCTAATTCCACATAGCTGGTGATGTCCATGTCTACCCCAGTGAAGTCTGGCCCTGGCACAGGCTAGCACCTGTACCGACCCAAGAATTTACAGAATAGATTTTGAGCAAATATTTAATTGAAAAAAAATTAGATAGTAGTAATTACATGTATTCAGCCACTAAATTTTCCCAAGTGTTTTTGAACTCATGAATGAGAACAATGAAAAGTTGTATTAAATGGCTAAAGTAATTTAATATTGGTTCAACTTTCATAGAAAAATTGGTGGGACTGAGAATGTACATTAGTTAGGATCAAGTTTCCTCATACAGTGCTACTAAATCTTGATATTTGTTACAAAATGATACATTTTCATCATAGGAAGTTTGGGGAAAACAAGAATTATGTGAGTCTACCTGTTAAGGTATAAGTCCTATTAACATCTAGTCACCTTTGTCTTTTTATGCAAATGTGTGCATGGGAAAAATAACATCTGTATTTACTGACTTAGTTATGCTGTTTACGAGGGTCTTCTGTTTTTTCTCCTACAGTCAACACTTGGGAATGTCTAGAAAAATATTTTTAAAAGATATATAACATACAACTGTAGTTATAACTTACTCTTATTCCCTTATTACATATGGTACTTTAGGAATAATGTCTAATTAAACATTTGATTGAAAATCAATACCGAGTTCATTTAATATGCATCTCTTCATTTAAATTTACAGAACTGGGTTTATAGGCCCCAAAGGTCAACGCGTTTTCCTCATTCTCAGAGGAGTCTTTGGCTCCACTGCCATGATCCTTATGTACTATGCTTTCCAGACGACGTCCCTCGCAGATGCCACAGTTATTGCGTTTAGCTGTCCAATGTTTACGTCAATGTTTGCTTGGATATTTCTCAAGGAAAAGTATAGCCTTTGGGATGCTTTCTTCACCTTGTTCGCGATCGTTGGAGTGATCCTTATCGTGAGACCGCCATTTTTGTTTGGTTCCGACACTTCAGGGATGAGAGAAAGCTATTCAAACCATCTTAAGGGGACGTTTGCGGCAGTTGGACACGCCGTGTTAGCTGCGATGACTCTCGTTATCTTAAGAAAAATGGGAAAATCTGTGGACTACTTCCTGAGCATTTGGTATTACGTCATAGTTGGCCTTGTTGAAAGCGTCATCGTCCTCTTTGTAATAGGCGAATGGAGTCTGCCTTACTGCGGGTTGGACAGGCTGTTTCTCATATTCATCGGGCTCTTGGGTTTGGGAGGTCAGATATTTATCACTAAAGCACTTCAAATAGAAAAAGCAGGACTCGTAGCAATAACAAAGACAATGGATGTAGTCTTTGCTTTCATCTTTCAGATTGCTTTCTTTAGTGATGTGCCAACCTGGTGGACAGTGGGCGGAGCTCTCTGCGTGGTAGCCAGTAGCACGGGAGCAACCATTCGTAAATGGGTCCAGAATTCCAAATAAAATACCACTGCTGAAATCTATTTTTTTTTCAAGTACATCTTCACCCAGCTCAGACATCTTTCACACCTACATACCCACACCCCTGGAAATCTATTGATTATATTTAATAAATTTCATAAATAAAGTACCATTTTTGAATATGGTATGTCTTTAATTAAGAGTAGCTAGTCTGGCCTAGCATATTTTTGATAGTGTTTATTTTTGCTTTGACTTGTTTTGGTTGGGGTGTCACTGGTGATAGAGCCCATTTGAAGAAAAATTGGAGAAATTTTTATGGTTATAGTTTTCTAAATGTATTTTTGACATTGGTGGGATATGTTTGGGAGATACTCTATTTTTAGCAGTGTAGAACCTGAGAAACCTAATATTGATAATGCTGCTATAATCAATAATTAGTACTGTGTTAACCCTTCGTTTGCAATACAATTCCATTTGGGATGCCAAAGCTGAAATGTCATATAGGTGCCTACTTATTGATGTTAGTAATATAAGTGAATTGGCCTTATTTTCAATGATTTTATAAATGATTATTATAATATTTGTGCCTTTTCATTTTGATGCTGGAATTTTTATATGTAATCTTTAACAGTGTTTAACTTGCCATATTTGGTCAGTATTCTGTTGCAGTGTATTTGCAACTCTTATCATTTTAAATTTTTAATTCTGTCCTTTTTTATTGAAACTGCACTAATTTTTAATGTCCCACAATTTCCAATCTTTAAATCATAAGATGGAAATCTTGGCATGACCAGTGTGCACATTTCCATCCTGAGGTGTTTTCACTTGAGATAAGATTATTTTTCTGTAACTTCTGCTTGAATTTATAGTGTGATGCCAAATAAAACTTTCTCAGGATCTTATTAGGCTGAACTGTATGAAATTGCCCATTTTAATTTACAAAACCCATGGGCTCCATGAAGTTCACCCTGATAGCCCCCTTACTCACTAAATCAAATATTTAGAATACTATAGACTATATTTTTAAAATAACTTTTTAATATACAGTTCTGTGATTAAACTCATAGTCTTTTCCCATTATGCGATGATATGTAATAACTCTGTTAGAGCCAAGAATGTAAAGAACTATTAATTCATAGCTCTTTGACTTTCATGAGTTTCTTCCATGGGGGGGGGCGGAGGGGAACCTCTGGTAAATGGTAGTTTTTGACTGAAAAACTGTACCATATTAGTGTGAATTCAGACAAAACATTCTGTAACCAGAGAACAGCAGGCCATTACTCTGAACAAGAGGATTTGGTATCAAGGAAAGCATCACAGTTTAATCAGGATGTTGGGAGTGCATGAACATAATTCTCCGCCACCATAAACCCCTTTACAGGGAGACCATGGTGGCCTCAACTCTCACTTTGCCAGACATTGCCTATCATTGTTAGAGTTAAGAGGCTGTCTGTACTTTTCCACCCTCATCACAATTCTTCCTCCCTTTTTAGGGAGGCTCCTGGGACTGCTTGGCTCCTGGGACTTAACCTTTGATGAAAGGATCTTTTCCAATAATATCAAGGGGCAACTTTAAGCTTACTGCTTTTAAATAGTGCTGATGAATCCTAAATGAAGTTTATTAGCTGAGTTACCTCCATCACACTTGATCTGACTCATACTCTTGGAATTTAGATTTGCAAAAGTACCATTATGCAATCATTTAGAACACTAGAATCGACAGTCTTTTGGAGCTCAAAGGTTATCTTAGAAATCATCTTGCGGGAGCTAGGCTCCATAGATAGGGATGATGGGATGGAGACCACACACAAGCTGGGTTTCCATGGCAGCCTTCCCTCACTTAGTTCCATGTTAAGTATGGAAAGGCAACCACTCCTGGAGCTACTGAAGCTGGATTATCTCCAGTTTCCTAGTGCAATAAGAGACTTTCTGGAAGCTTGAAAGTTAAATCCCTTTGACCTGTGTATATGTTTTATTTCAACAGTGGCTTAAAAACTTGAGTATCATAATATGTGACTAACACTGGGAACAATGTTTCTTATCCCAACATTTACAGGGTATGATTCTTAAACACAGTGTCCAAGTGGTGTATAAGCCTATGTATTGCAACAAATATGGGTGTGTATATTTTGCAAAGATTGTAGTTTCTATATCTTGAAAAGGAAAATATTTTTCATAACTTGTTTTTATTTTATAAGTAATAAAAGCATAAAAGAAAGCTATATGTTGATTTTTATGACTATAGAAAATGTCTGATGTAACATTTCTTATTTCAATCATGTGCTTCTAATTCATTTTCTATAGGAGACTGGTCTCTAGCCATTTTGCTGGGTTGTAATCTTAAATTTCAAACTGTTAATGTGGTCCTTATACTGCTACAGCAAATCCAACATCTCCAAAATAAAGACACTAATCTGTACTAGAGAGGCCTTCATTCCTTTAGACCCTAAGAGCTTGGAGCAGCTTAGAGCTGTACTTTTGCTCTTACAGCTAATTTACAACTAAATCCTGCAGTGTTTTCTTGCTATATGAATTCATTCTGTCCTCAGCACTTCCACCTGATTTTCTACCACTATATTTAACTAAGCCACATGCTTCAAGACCACTCTGGCCCTTGTGTTAGGGCCAAGCTAACTTTCCTGAAGTCCTGTTGTTACTATCACTCTTGTTCCTGTGAAGCCATAGTTTTATCTGGTGATGGCACACCATCATGCCCAAGTTACTTGTCTGGCTCCACTCTCACTTCACCCTGTTTACCACGTTGATGAGAGGATCAGCCTTCCCATTAACTCATATTTGCCAGAAGAGCCCTTTCTCTGTTCTCTGCTTTCCTTACTGTCTCTTATTGGTCCTGTGAGGCCTGTTAGCCTCCAGTGGCTGAGCTGGGGCTTTGCTTTGGTTTCTTCCACTGCCTCCAGCTTCTCACGCTCATAGTCCTCTTGGAGAAGGGGACAATGTACTGGGTTAAGGGACTGAAGGTGTGAGTAATTTTGTCACCTTTCAATGAGGCAAACATATACCTCAGCTATTCAAAATAGAACATACTACCCAAATTCTCCTAAGGAGCGCCATAGACTTTAGACCAAAAGGAAGCACAATGCTACTTAGTAATGAACTGTGGTTACTAAGAATCTTAGAATGCAGAGCTCACTTAACCCCTCCTGTAAGCATAGACTGGAGTTGCTGGACAGACTTTCTGTTCTAGCAGATCTTCCCACCAAGGGCTGCTGAGGGTCACCAACAACTTATGCATGTGTTGTCCTCTTTCCAGTTAGCTTTATTGCTGGTCCTCAGTGATTATGATGCTTAGCTCTGATTTGGGGAATGGGCCTAGCTCTCCATGTGTTTCCTATGTACTCCTCTAGCCTCTTCTCTGTTCATCCACTAAATATCATGAGTCTCAAGGGTAATGTAGTGGAGCTAGTTTCTTTGATAGCAGCCTGTCCTCTGCCTTAGGTATATACAAATTCATAGTCAATAGTTGGCATTAGAACTGGTTTATTATGGTATCATTTGGACATGTGAAGCTTGGGCCCTACCCCCAAACATATTTTTTTTGCCCTTACAGAGTTCGACACCAAATCTAATACGGCCAGTAATGCCTTACCAGTGAAACTCTGTGGTGCACAGAGAAATACCCATCCAGTTTATTTGAAAACTAAATTTGAAGTGGCCTTGGAAAACTTCACAGAGAGCCCATGATGCATGGCACCACTTATCTAGAAATTGAGGTGGGGTGTTTATAGCAAGAGGGTTAAAGAGCATATATATGTATCAAGACTGGGCAGGAAAGGTCACATGCCCAGCCCACAGGAGGATCCACCAAGTTCAGGAAATATCACTACTAGAGGAAAGCACCTGGGTCTTCTCTACTAACCTTTCATGACTCTCATGACCATTCAGGGTTAATCTCAACAAGCATAACCATAAATCACAGAAGGTAGCTGTATTAGTTAGTTTTATGTTGCTGTGATAGAAACACTGACCAAAGCAACTTATAGAAGGAAAAGTTTATTTGAGCTTACAGGTCCAGGGGAATTACAGCCTGTCATGGCAGGGAGACATGGTGGCAGGAGGTGGCTGGAGCAGGAGCAGAAACTAAGCTCTCACACCTTCAAGCAGGCACAGGAAACCAGAGAATGACTGGAGATCCAGCAAGGCTTAAGAACTCTCTAAGCCCGCTCCTAGTGATGAGCTTCCTCCAGGCTAGCCACACCTTCTAAGACCTCCCAAAACAGCACCACCAACTGGGGACAAAATGTCCAAATACTTGGAGCCTATGGGGGACATTCTCATTTAAACCTCCACAGTAGCCCATACTTGTGATGAGCTGCTAGACTGGGGTCTAGGGAAAAGAGAGTCATGGGCAGTAGTAAAATGTGTTCAAAGGAACAGGACAGAATCAGAGTACTATGCTGCTGCATAGAACTGTCCTCTGGCAAGCTGTGGACAGACACCTTCTTCTCAAGTGTAGCTGCAACTGTTTGCCTAGGATCATCACAAAACTTAACTGTTGACACTCTGCAAGAAAGGAGGGGCAGAGAAAGTCAGCCACACCTCTCAACCAACCAGTGGGCCCTAGTAGCACAAGGAGGAGGGACTAAGGGATACCAGTGAAGGAAGCTGTAGGGAGGCTCTCACCATTTTGTATGGACGCTGGGAAGTCACCATCCATGTCTGCATGGAGACTTTTCAGTGTGGCCTTAGGAGGGGAGCACCCACAGTCCTGTAAGTAAACCCTAACCCACTGCTCTGTGAGGAAGCCCAAATGAACTTACTGGTTTTCCAAACTGCAGTTTGTTGTAGGAACCCAAGGGAGGAGGGGACTGGATGTTGTTTGTGCCTCCCAGAAGGAATTTTAGCAACACATGCCAAGGTCAGGTATAGCCACTGAAGTCTGAAAAGTCAGGGCTAGAGAGAACATTGTGAGTTGGGAGGCTTGTTCCTAAGGCTGGAAATGCCTGACCATTCTTACAGGTGTTCCAAGTATATTTGACCATGATTTGAAAGCCATGCTATATATGTAAGACACCAAAGAGATGGAAACAGAATATAATTGTATTTGGGGTTCTCTATGATTACAGTGAGTGTTACCATGTTAATATTAGAATCAAATTCAAAACACAATGTCTAATTCAGAAGGGACTAACCATTTCTCTCACATTATGCTCTCCCTGGGAACCCAGTCACCGTGAAGAAGCTGGAGGCATGTGGAGAGGCCCACATGGAGAGGAGTGGAGGTTTCCACCTCTCAGGCCCATCCATACTGCAGCTGACAGCTCACACCAGCTTGCCAGACATGTGAGTGTACACATTAGGGCTGGATCCTCCAGCCCTCAGATGAGCTACCCCAGTTGATGCTGTGTGGAGCAAACATGCAGACACTAGCCTTTCCCACTTGCTGTGATCTGCTCAAACTGAAGATTTGTGAGAATTTTAAAAAGATGGTTGTTTTAAACTACTAAAAAAAAAAGATATAGAAAACATGCCTGTTTGAATATGTGTGTACGCAGTAAAATAAAGATATAGAAAACATGCCTGTTTGAATATGTGTGTATGCAGTTATACATGATCACAATTACATACGACAAAACACTTCAACATAGAAACAAAAATCATGAAAAGGGATAACTAAACAGGCTTGTGACAGATAAAGTTAGCAAAAATTAAATATATAGACATAGAGTAATAAAGCATAGTACAGTTATCTAAACCAAGTATTCTCCAGTGCCCAAACTATTTTCATAATGATACTGAGAATGTTGGTATGTTTCACACCTTTTCATGAGTTTATGGTAGAGTTTCCTAGAGGCTAAAGTTGCAGAAAAAGAAGCCAGATCTCATCTATTAAGCTAAGTGTACATATAAAATAGTGTCATATTTTTTTGGAAATTATTATTCAATTTATTTATTGACAATTTCATACATGTATATAATGTATTTTGAACATACCACCCACTATCCTTGTTTATCCTCTTCCCAGTCTTTCTGGCTAGAAAATATGTTAATAAAATGTTTATGTGAGCCTGGCGTGGTGGTGCACACCTTTAATCCCAGGACTCAGGAGGCAGAGGCAGATGGATCTGTGTGAGGTCAAGGCCAGCCTGGTCTACATAGTGAGTTCCAGGACAGCTGGGGCTACAGGGAGACCCTGTCTCAAAAAGACCAAAAAAAAAAAAAAAAAGATGTTTATGTGAACATGAAATAAGCTTTGTTTGCAGTCCTGGGAAGCCAGTCTAGGATCTTGTGCATGCTAGATAAGTGCTGTACCACTGAGCCATATCCCCACCCTGTAGTAGAGTATGTATGTATGTATGTATGTATGTATGCATGTATGTATCAATTTATTGAGACAGGGTCTCACTATGTGGCAGTGGGTGGCCTTGAACTAGCTATGTAGACCAGCATGGCCTTGAACACACAGAGATCCTCCTGCCTCTGCTTCCCCAGTGCTGGGATTAAAGGCGTTCACCACCATGCCAGCTAAAATTAGTTTTTAATTTTAGTTCTGCTTTCAAATATGTTATCTGTATTAGCTATTTTCTGTTGCTGTGATAAAATACCATGACCAAGACAACTTACAGAAAGGAGAGTTTATTTGGCTTATGTTTCCAGAAAGGTAAGGGTCCACCATGGGGGTGGAAGGACACGGCAGGCAGCAGCCAGAGTAGAAAGATGAAAGCTCACGTCTTCAAGCAGACACAGAAGCAGAGAGAGCAGATTGGAATGGGGGCAAGGCTAAGAATGCTCACAGCCTGCTCCCACCGACATGCTTCCTCCAACAAGGCAATACCTCCTAAAACCCCTGCCAATAGCACAGACCAAGTCCAAGTATTCAAATACTTGGAGCCTATGGGGGACACTTCTTTGTATCCACCACAGAATCTATATGTAGAACCTACATAAACAGAAGCTCATTGGTGCCTTCAATAGTATTTGAGAATAAAGGGTCCAAGAACAAAAAGTTTGAGAGCAATACATATGATAGTTACAGTAGGGGCCGAAGTTGTAGCACGGTTGGTCAGTGCTTACTTAGCATGTGCACAGTCCTCAGTCTGATCTCCAGCACTGAAAATAAAAAGATTAACAAATCTGAACTATTTAGTCTTTTTAGACTAAGTCCAGCATCAAAACTTCTGGCTGCTTCATGATATTCTGAAAGTAGGAAACACAGCTAAATAACGGTGTATAAATTAGAAACATCTTCAGTGTGATGCC